GTTCCATGTTGTCTTTATTTACTCTTATTCATGTTGTTTTGCTTTAAAAACATGAAAATAATTAAAATACTTTCTGTTGGTGACACAGATCCCCGTTTTTCTCAGTAACGGTTTAATTTCTTAATATTGATGTTCCCAGCATGGTTGGGATTTTACTTGGTTCTTCACTTTACCATGTTACTACCTTTGATCATAATGATTGTTTTTCTCCTTATTTTTACCTGGTTTAATCTACTTTGATCATTTCTTTTCTCTTACCGCCTTGTTTCTGTATTTGTGTACTTTCCCCCCTCCCCCAGTTCACAGTGGAAAATAGATTTTACATTGAGACACGGTGCATATTTCTTGGTAAACGATTATGGGTGAGTATGAATAAATGCTCAGAGCAGCACAGAACCTGAGAAACACGCGGACAGAACAGGGCAGGGCTGTAAGCTGCAGGCTTCCCACCATGAACAGCAGCAACAGAAATCATCTTCCATCTGCATCCTCACAGTCGCAGTGCCCAAGGCCCGTGAACATTTACCAGCACCGTGCAGCAGATGTTTTTATTTTGTTTCAATCAATTAATGGTGAAAAGAGATGAAACGTAACCAACTAATTTAACGTCATTTTGTTAAAAGAAATATATGCTAGAGGACTGGCCAGGGACAACGTGGAGTCCCTTAATTGAAGTATTTGATATGGGAAAGAACACATACCCCTCTGTTAATGCTGGTGTGGTCTTGGGTAGTCTGTCGCATACCCTGGTGATCTTTTTTTTTCACTAGGTGAGTGAAAGAATAAAAAAGTGAATTTTTAAATTCTGTAAATTAAGATATTAGCTCTTCTAAACGGAAGACTATTTTGTTAAAATGAGACTGAAGAAATGAACTTACTTTATATTAGTCCTTTTATTTCTCAGGATAATTAGAAATTAAATGCTTGGTATGCTTTATATCATGGCTCTGTGTATTTAGTGCACAAGAGGACATGATCCCTTTTTAAATTAACGTGGTGATGATTTTTGCCTGTGTTAGCATAGGTTCTCTAACTAAAATTATCGTTAGTGAGATTTAACAGTGTTCCAGTTAACAAAAAAAGTAGAATTAAACATTTTTTAAAACATGAGATATCATTTCTCTCCATATGGCTCACTCAGCGTGGTGATCCGCATTTGAAATAACTGCAGTGCTTGTGAGAAAATGTGCTCTGCCCTCTTCGGCTCTTTGTGAGCAGGGGGAGAGGCTGCTTGCAGGCCTGCCCAGTGCCCAGTATGGCTGCAATGGGCCTGTATTTATAGACTGTATTCTGTTAAATGTGCTCGGGGTTCAGATTTGTAGGAAGTCAGGAAAGACCAAAGATGATGAATGAGGCATAAGGATTCTTGTGAATCTATGGGTAGGACAGTAGGTCATTGAAAAATGCCTATTTGTGGGTTTTTAAGGAGTATTAAATTGAGATTAAGGTAGAGATGGAACTCTTTTTAAATGTAGCCTTTTAAAATTATATCTTTTCATCTCCATTAAAAAATTAAAACTCCAGGGCCTGAGCGTTTCACTATTAAATTTCTTCAGAGAACATTTAATCTAGGGCAGTGCAATCTAGGTCATGGACCAAGTTAAAACGTTATCCATTCCGTTTAATGATTAAACTAAGCTGTGATTCCAACACACTCAGATGAAGCACCAGGTATGAGCTAATGGTCTCATAATTCAGTTTGTAAAACCCTAACCCTCTGAGATACTCCATCCAAACTAAGAAACTGGCAGATACATTGGGTTAATCCTATAAAAATTCCACTCTCAGAGTTGTAATAAACATTAACTCATTGAAAAGATCTGAGAAGGCTTTCTTTGCTAAGTAAAATATGCTTAACCCAGAGTTGCCAAATGTATTCGACTGCAGAACCTCGTGTCTGGTTAACATCTTCAGCCAAATTGGCTTTTCGCGGAACATATATTGAGATATAGAACAACAGACCAGGATCCCTTTAAAAAGATGAATATAAAAATCCTACAGTAGTAATCTGCCAACTAAAATCAAAGGTGCATTTTCATGAAAAGCAAAACAAATATCAAACAAGCAAAATAAGACGAACTTAATAGTAATTACCTAATATTCCTGACATTATGTATTTGTTTCATACAGTTCCAGCGGTACCGTCAGTCTCCTGTCCTTGTTGACCGTATGAGATGATTTGAAATTCCCAAGGACATGCCTCTGTTTCTAGAGTACACTGGTGACACTCAAGTTCTGATTCGCACTGAACATATTTCACTACGTGGTGATTTGTCCTCTGGTCTGCGTAGTTTAAATGCATGTTCATGTTGATGGAGGAAGACTGGCCAACGTACCAGGCTATAAAGCCCCTAAAGGTTTTTCTATTCTGTGACAGTGATCTTTAAAATAAACATGGTCGCAGTGGGTATTCAGCAATGGGTAAAAGTGAATTACGTTAAGGCAGAGATGGCTTTGTGACATAGTTTTAAAAGTCCTCTTTAAGCTCCATATTGTGAATGTCAACCACAGTTGTGCAAAAAACATAAGGATGTGCATGGCAGGAATTCTCTGCTCCCCAAAATGCACAGAATGTCTACCAACTACATATATTTAATTATCATGGAATTTTAAAAAATCTGTAAGTTACATCAAATTAAATACCTATCTAAATAATAAGGTGAAGCATGTGTAAAATAATATATAAAGAGAAAATTCATTGGGATTATTTTCCTCCCTAATATTACTATTTTAACAGTTAAATCTTAAAATATTACCATATAATGATATACTTAGTAGTTACCTAGGCCAGTGAGCTACATAAGTCATAAATATTTGCATATGTGATACACGTATATGTAATCTTTTATATAATTACCATGGAAATTCTCTCATCCAAGCAGCCTCAGTGATAAGTAGCTCTATTTAAAACAAGTCGCCAGTCAGACGTTGACATTTTGGCCCAGAAATAGAACTTAACCTTCCCCCCCCCACTGCCTTACCAAGAATTGTCAGTTTCTGTAAATGATGACAGTGAACCCTCCAAAGGTCGCCGCCTAATGTCGGTGTGACAGATCTTTGTAAACAGTTCAAGATTACGGGTTTACATTGCACGTTGCCTAATACTTCTTTTCGGCGCTCCCCCGCTTGCCCGTATTTCCACGCCCATCACCGTCCAGGGCTGAGCTGCGGGCTTGAGAAGAGACCGGGCGAGATTATAGCCACTCACTACCCCACGGCTGATTTTCTGCGGCCAGTAACTGTTAGTAAACCCATAGCCAAGGGGAGCAGACACAGTTTCCCCATCTCCACTGTTTGTCCAAAGTCCCTGAGTCTGTGGTCAAGTTGAAAACAAAAGCTTTGTAATAGTTTTTGTGTAGATATTTGATCCTTAGACATGAGTCATTTTTATACTTCTATTTTTTTTTTTAATGCATGGGCTGGGATATAAATAACAAAATCACTACTGCATTCATGGAGTGTTATTATGTATCAGGCATTTTACTGAGCATTAGCGCATAATAACCGAATAGGAAAGTTAATATTACATTTAATTTTCAGTTGAGGAGCAGGAAGGTTAAAAAGCTTAAGTGATTTACTTAATTAGCATTCATCAAGTTATCAGTTAAATGCCTGATTAACTTACAATGTTATTATTAGTATGATAAAGGCAAATCATTTACTTTAGGTGTAGACTAGAGTGTCACCCTCACATACGCATCTCCAACACAGGGCTCAGTGCTTGGCCCTAATAAACCATCAGGAACTGCATTTGTATGAATAAATATGACTTACTTTTATGATATTAGGTTACCCATTTTCCATTATGAAATATTTAAGTAAAATTTTTTAACACCTATTGGTCTTTAATGAAACTTTTTTTTTTTCTTATTTGAAATGTACAGGTGTTTTTACAATAGAGGAATTATAAGAAAATTATATTTACTTGCTACTTTTCATTTCAAAAGTCAACCATTACAAATGAATCTGAGTAACTTTTATGCCTGTTAACTGAACAAAATGTTAAACAGAACATGGTGTGACGTTGGTTCATTTTTTTCTATCTTAAATTGCAGTAAGCTATTTAATTTCAAGTGTTTAGGCAGGGGATATAAGATAATCAACAAAAATACTGTTACAATTAGAAATCCACTAAAATCAGGTATTTTAAGTGAGCTTTAAGTAAAATATTACTGCCCAGTCACAAAACAATCTTAAATTTCATTGGTATAAAATTTAAAGAGAATGGAGTGTTTACTTATATCCACCAGCTATGATTATTTATTTTTAAATTCTACATTATTAAATTCCTTTGGTACTTGCAATTCAGGTTATAATTTAAAGAGTTTAACTTGGTATTTGAAAAAATGTCTTTCTTTTCAGACAAGACAAAATAGGATATTTTTATTATGAATGTGCCGCATTTGAGCCCATTCTTGGATTTAGTTTATCAGAAAATCTGTGCCCATCATTAAAATCACTTCTGGGTACAGGCACAAAATAATAATTAACTGCAATTCATCAATTATGGTCAGGGAGAAGAGGCAGTTTTCATTTAATAATGACTCCAAGGACATCTGTGGATGTGTAAGATAGCAATTTGTATTAAAATGGATTATAATCGTGGAATAGCTTCAGATCTTTATATGGCAAATTGTAGCATTTGCAGTTCTAGGAAAAATAGCTAATACATAAATGAGTAATGTTTATGCATGAAGCAAGTCAAGGGTATCTCATTGCTAAAACTGCCTTAGCCACAAGAATTATATAAAAGAGTAGCAATAAAGTATGTATCTCCCTGTGTCCTGAAGATATACTTTTTGCTTCAAAATAATACTATATCTGTTGAATGTAGGAAAAAACCCTTAAAATTTATATTTTTCTATGGAAAAAAATGTATGCTATAAGATCCCACCTATTAAATGGCTTTATGAAATGTGCTTTGGCCTCAGAGGAACAGTGGTGAGAAACAACATGCCCGATTAGAAAGTTTTCACGTCAGTGCACGCTTGTGTCTTTAGCATTTGCGGAATCCAGCATCTGGAGCGCATCGGGAAGAAACTGAATCTCTTTGACTCCCTGTATTTCTGCATTGTGACCTTCTCTACGGTGGGCTTTGGGGATGTCACTCCTGAAACATGGTCCTCCAAGCTTTTTGTCGTGGCTATGATCTGCGTTGCCCTTGTGGTTCTACCCATACAGGTAAACACAGCCATGATACGTTTTACAGAAATGCATGACGTCTGATAAAATTAAGTCTTCCATGTTTAACAGAAACTGCATGGTGGTTTATTAATTTAGTAACACATGCTATTATTATACATAGTCGATTCATTAAAATTGTCTTAGAAAACCCTTTTTATGTTATATTAGAAACTCAGGGTTTTTCCCCCCTTCACTCACAATGGACAGCTCACATCTCATTTCAATTTTTCAAGATGTTTCTTTTATAGACCGGGCATTTATCTATATTAATGACAGGATTATAGGATGGTAGAGTTTTTAATCACAGAATGATAGATCAAGGAAACAAATGTGTGAATGGCCGATTTCTCTTGATTCCTGAAATATCTAAAAGCCAAACATCATGATGATTAAAAACTGATTACACGTATTAGTCAACTAAAATAAAACCTGAAGATGATATGTAACTATTCTGCAGCATTTTGGCGAGTGGATAAGATGCTTTCGAAGGGACAGAGAAATACAACAAGATGTCAGATAAATAGATACAATCTCTTATTTTTTTCTGCAGTGAGCTTCGGGTGCCCATGGGTGGGAGGGTAGAAACAAGAAATGGCAAATACACATCAAGCGTGTACATTCAATTACAAGCCTTGGCTACAGTGTCTCCAAATATAGTTTATGTAGGTATAAAAATGATCTTCCCAGTCCTGTCCAATCAAGCATGTCTTCCTTCCCAACGGCCCTCCCCAGTTCACTCCATGTCCCCTTCTTACCAGCTGCTATGGAACTAGAATGTGGCCCTGATGTGCCGTGCGCTATGGGGACCGGCTGCATGAGCTCTGGGGTGCACCCCACAGAAGTATGTGGATAACATGCCAATGAGACGTCGCCCTTTGACTCAGCCCGTGCAGATCATGGCTGCACACTCCGCTGAACACAGAGCAGGGGCTCAAATCTCTAAATGTCCTGTCTTCAGACAATAGGAAAATCATATTAATGTTTCCATAGAGACCTGAAGCCTCTGGGAGACATTAGCAAACTCTGCAGCAAACATATGGAAAGTCTGATGTTGAAGGAGCGCAGGTCATTTGGATCTGGATGAGTTCCAACCAAGAAATTGAGGACGCCTAAGTCAACAATGGGTGGACTGCATGGTTTTTATTTTCATGTCTGTGTTTTACCCCCTCCATGAAAAACGCGTTCCAGTTTGAACAGCTGGCCTCCCTGTGGATGGAGAGACAAAAATCGGGTGGAAACTACAGTCGACACAGAGCTCAAACTGAAAAGCATGTCGTCCTCTGTGTCAGCTCGCTGAAGATTGACTTACTTATGGACTTTTTAAACGAATTCTATGCTCATCCAAGGCTACAGGTACATTTAAGTTATATTGGGCATGATGCTAGTTCCTACCTACTAACATATTGTCAAAGTCAACTAAGGGATGGTGTATCCTGCTTTCCGGAGGACTTTTTTTATGCACTCAAATTTAGAAAGTGTAAATGAGGAACTACAAATATAACCAGGAACACAGAAAAAATGCTGAAGGAATCCACAGTATTTTAGTTTCCTTCTGTAGCCACACTAAAGGGCAGATGGAACTGTGTTAATGCTTCAAAGAAAGGTTTTCTTTGAATTAACATGATTGATGCTTTTCTCCCCTGGATAATGCATAAATGATACTTTTATGGAACAGTGAAATTGAACATAAACTATAATAAAACAATGAACACATCACTTCAATACCATCTGCGAGCTTGAACCTATCAATTTTGTCAAGTATCGCTGATGGAAACATGAAGTCTAGAGGTTCTGTTTTTTTCTTTTGTTTTCTGGAGTGTGACTAGGTCCTATTTAAAGTAGCAATAAACGACTGAAAAATCGGACGATAACTCGTTGAATTAAGAACACAGACTCAGAAAAATCTCTTCATTTGTCTGTGCAGATAAAATGCTCAGATGCTTCTTACACTTGCTGCAGTACTGGGCCAACGTGAAGTTAGGTAATCTTTGCAGCTTAAAGATTAGTTCCATCCAATCAGCAAAGAACTACTTGAATGTCTTGTTTTCCTTCAGTAAATTTGTGTCAAAAGGTTGGACAATTCTGAGATCGAAACAGTACTGAGTATATCTGATTATTTCTCCCTGAAATAGACTTTTTTCATGAATACTTTGGAAAACTTTTTAAATACAAATTTTATATATAAAAGTATTATAAGTGATACCTAAATTATACAATGCATTCTTTTGGTTTTATATAAATTAGATTTTTTTTAGAAACTCCCTATTTATTTGTTGGGTTTTTTATTTTCATATTAAATAATTTCAGGTTTGTTCATTATAACATATAAAGAAAATCCATCTGGGAGCAAGTATGATCCCTGGTAATTTATTGATATTACCCTAGTATCAACATGGAGAATTCTTAAAACTCTAAAAAATTTCACTAGATATATTTTGGAGTGATAAAATGATGGCTGTTTCCCAGAGAATTGTAATCCCTATAGATCAGTTGTTTTGAACCATTTCATCACAAACAATTACCTTCATATTTTCTCTAAAGGGCCATTATTTTGAAATATTTTGATCTCAAACTCTTAAATTACTTTGTTAATATTACCAATATTTTTACAAACCCATATCCATTCAGATATCAGAGAATTTTCAGTATTACCAGTTCATCATATTACAAAATGATAGTCACCATCAGAGTTCTTACCCTAAAAGTAAATATTTGAAGTATGAATTGATACTAAGCATTTTTGCCTGACATGCAATGTATACAGGTTTGTCCCCCCAAAATACATATACACTTTAACAGCCGATAGCTCAATTTTGATAATGACATGTATTTTAATAAACACTACCTTTATAATTATTCAAAGTGTATGAATACATTTTGGGGGGACACTGTATCTTTTAGAATCAGCCTGAAACTGAAAACTTCAGAGACTGGAAATATATGCCGAGTATAGCACTGAGCACCTTCTCTTCGTGGTACCAGTAAGATTGGGAAAGATCAGGGTGAATGTATTGATTGATGAGACTTATAGGCCTCAGTTACGCTTCTGTCAGTCTTGTGCTATGTGATCCATGCCCAGGTTTAAACACCAGCTTTCATTCATGAGCAAGGGCTCACTTCCAGTGTGTCGCCTTCTGGGATGTCCTTAGACACTGTGTGTTGCATGCACCAGCATCACTGCTCCTGTGCCATCTCCCTCTCTGTTCTGAGCAGGATTATTACGTGGTGATTCTGTGTCCTACGGAAATGGACGTGCAAGTTCGGAGGGTGCTACAGATCCCCATGTGGTCACAAAGGGTCATCTACCTTCAAGGGTCCGCCCTTAAAGATCAGGATCTGCTGAGAGCAAAGTAGGTACCCCTCCCCCTTAATTTCCCGTCTTCCCTGCCTGGTATCACTGCCCTCCTGCAGGCTTAGCCACGGTCAGTGTTGCAAGATACCTTTCAGTATCTTTGAATACAGGCTTTTGCCTCAGTCCCAGCACTGGTCAGATGGAAAGGTTGAAAATATAAAGTCAGCGTGTTTGCGCCTGTTCCTTGGGGCAGAGCTGGTCAGCAGAGCTTGTCCACACAACACAACGAGTGTGGCGTGGTGTGATTGTGTCAGGCTGTCAGAGAGGAGCTGGTGGCCAGACGCGTCCTTGGACTAGTCTCCAGATCCCTCAACACTGTTTTTATTCCGCAAGTAAAAATCTTGGGCTCACTATTCTGCGAAATGCTGGTCTGAGTCAGGGCCTAAGTTTTAGAGTTTATATTATGTACTGGGCAGAGCAGGACAGTGAAGACGTTCTGTTTTTCAGACAATACGTAGATATTTCAGTGTGTGATTATCGGTGTGATTTTCTGTCTGCACCCAGGATGGACGATGCTGAGGCCTGTTTCATTCTGAGCAGCCGCTGCGAGGTGGACAGGACGTCCTCTGTAAGTTTCTCCGCTGGTAACCTTTACTTTTCATTTTTTAAAAATCTGATTATTTTCTAATCTGCCGGCACCAAAGCCCAGTGACATTAAAATTTCCCTAAAATAAACGAAGCGAACATCTGAGAACTATCTTTGCCACAATGCACGTGCAGTTGGATCATTACCAGTGTCAGGAACGTGCTTTTGAAGGCGTCTGTACTGATCCTGGGGCTTCCCGTCCATCAGAGTGAAACGAATTCTAAATACACACTTGTGATTACATTTTCCCAGCGGTCGAGTTGGCCGTGCTTTCTTTTTGCTGTTTTAGGTTGCTTCCCCCCTCCGAATTTCCAAAGTCAGCTGTATATTATAGGTGTCCGTGGCCACTCAGGATCTCCTTTTGGTAACTGTTAGTTGTGCATTTGCTAACTGCACTTACTATTCCATCACGGGCTGATTTACTGACATATTCAGATGAGGTCTGCAGGTCTCAGTTCATTCAGCTGCAAATATACGTGAGGCCCAGGGATATAATTCTTTGCTGAGCACCAGCAACTCCTCATGAAGCAGCCTCTCAGTGTCACCTTCATTCACAGCCAGGGTGACCTGTGCCATCTCCACACAACCTTGCTGAGTTTTGCATCTCTTGCTCCACAATAGTATGAACGATGTCACTAGACGACGGGAATTTTTCAGCTCTGTCATAACCTTTGGGGACCACCGTTGCATATGTGGGCCATCGCTGACCGAAATGTCGTTATGTGGTGTGTGACTGTATTATCCACTGTCCAACTTATCTCATGACATTTCGATTTCGATCGTTTCAGGACCACCAAACGATTTTGAGAGCGTGGGCTGTGAAAGATTTTGCTCCGAACTGCCCTTTGTATGTTCAGATACTGAAGCCTGAAAATAAATTCCACATCAAGTTTGCTGGTAAGTTCTGTCTCCAGCGAGAGCCTTTGGATTTTCTCAAACTCCCACTGAGATGGCGACAATTATGTCTCTGAAGTTCGCAGCAACTTACTACATTTCATGTCTCTACAGGACAGAAGGATTTCCTTTTGTTATTATCTGCTTGTTATAAGAGAATTTATCCATTTTAAAATGTGACAAGACAATGTGTTGGGATGAATCTTTACTTTGCTATATAATTTGGTGATCTCAGTAGTGAAGTTACTGGATACTTATTAAGTCTGAACAGATGAGCAGTGATAGTTTGTGCACATACAGACACAGGCTCCAAACGTTATACCTATTAATTTATACTCACGTTTACACATAGATAGATAATACCTTGCTATAGATTATTTAATACACATATAAATTTACCATTTAATTTGGGGGTAGATTTTGAAACCAATTCTAGAGAAAGAATTGCCAGGGTTTCTTTACACCTTTTTCCTAAACTGAAAATTAAAAATAACAGTACCTTCTTTGTAGAAGACTATGTGAAATTAAAGTATTCCATCTATTATTTCCTGTTATACATGTAATTAGCACTCAGGGAATGCCATTTTTTTTTTTTTTTTTTTTAAATCTAAAAGACCTTTGCAACTAAGCTGCCTTATTTTTATTATTATTTGGCTATAGAAAAATTTCATGCCAATAATGACTTACTATGATAAGATTTTTAAGAAGGTAGTAATGACATAGCAGTAGGCCAAGTCCTAAAAATATGAGTTTAAATCTGAGTGCCACCGCTTAAGATTAACTAGGCAAATTGGTGTTCTCAGCCCCCTTTCCCTCTCCTATTAAATGGTCCTAATATGTATGACGTCTCTATTCCATTGGTTGGGATGAGCAGTAAGGATTAAATAAATAATATCTGAAACGTGTTAGGTGTTTAATAAGTGGATACTGAATTCACTGTAATTTTAAAAGTGTTATAAGTAAAGCTCAGAACAGATTTTAGCTTTCCCTCCCTTCTTTAGCAACCCATGGTCTGCTCACAACAGATAGGTCAGAATCACCGAAATACTTTAATTTTCCAAACAGAAAATCACAAAGACTGTTTGCATTGACTTTCTTTCACATGCCTCCTTTTCCATTATTTTGACAAACTCATTGAGAGGAGGGAATATTGAAAAATTCCACCCCGACAGTTTATCCCAGTGTTTCTCACGATGGCGTCTGCCTCCTTTTATGGCTGAGATGACCACACCTCAGGGGAGCTCCTTTTATATCATGAAATGATGAACGCACCCTGGTTTCCTTAAAACACCATAAAAGCAGTTTAGGGAGAGGTATCGACTCTTTTAATAAAAAGCCTTGAGTGAAGTTAGCAGCAGAACTCTCCTCTCCAGTTAGTCAGCTGAATCTAAAGGAACTTTGCTGTTTGTCTCCTAGTGAGACGAAATTACTCAAAAAAAAAAAAAAAAATTCAGTGGAGATGAATCTGTTATGGGAGTAAATTAATTGCTAAATTTAGATTAACAGTCTACTCGCCCCCCCAAGTAAAGTGTTTGTCATCCGTGAATAGTCAGTTCTCTTCGCTTGTCAATGGAGTGTCTTCCCACGAGTGGCTCCTGTGAACGGCTCCCGTTTCATTTCCACAGTAAGAAGCCAACGTCACACTTGTCCGCTTGCACCCGGGGGGAGAGGGTGACAGTGAGTTTGCAAACAGGCCGCAGTGCGCTGCGGCCTCACTGCCCGCGCTTGGATTATGTCATCTCCCAAGGAACAGAATCCAGTCTAGTCCCTCGACGGAAGGACAATGGGAAAGTGCTGACTCAGTGAGACACCCCCGATGTCACAACTAAACCAGGCCAGGAAGAGCGAGTCATTAGAATAGGAGGAGCTAGTTTGGGAAATAAAAAAACATCAGTTGCAATAGAGTCAAAAGGAGAGGCAGACGTAAATACTTTTTAACACTAATCACTGACAACACTGTAAAAGCATATTCTTCTGAGAGTGGGTAGCCGTGGTCACCATTATAAAAACAATGTTGTGTAAAATCCACACACACACGCATCCTGGAGAAATGATTTACTGAGAAATGAAGGTCGTCTCAAGCCGTTTGGCCACCGTCTAGTTCTCACTGTAACACCATCCACTCTAATGCCTCACTTTTTCCTGCCCAAGAAAGAGAGTGGAAAAATATCTCCAAGCGACATAAATATTGGAAATGATCTGAGCTGTTTCTAAATACCATATGTGTGTGCAAGGCTTGACTTTCACCAAATGCTGAGGTGTGAGCTTCTCCTGCTGAATACTTTCTTCATTTCCCATCTGACACCCACACTGACATCATTTCAAGCTCCATCCTTACAACCTGCTTAAGAACAAATGCTTGAAATCATATATGTGTATATATTTATTGATTTCAGAGAGAGGGAGGGGGAGAGAGAGAGAAACATGGATGCTGAGTCATTGATCAGCTGCCTCCTGCACGCCCCCTGCTGGGGATCGAGCCCGCAACCCGGGCCTGTGCCCCGACCGGGAATCGAACCCTGACCTCCTGGTTCATAGATCAATGCTCAACCGTTGAGCCACGCTGGCCGGGCGGAATCCTATATTTCAAAGTAAAAACACCAACACTTTGAAAATTCTCCGATGTTATTTTTTATTAAAATACAGTTGTTACATGAGGTTCGGGTGTACAACATGACTTGACATTTATATACCTTGTGATGTGATGGCCACAGTAAGTCTAGTCACCATCTGTCACTGTACAAAGTTACCACGATGTTATCGACTACATTCCCTGTGCTGTTCATCGCAGCCCCGGGACTTATTTATTTTAGGACTAGAATTTTCTGCCTCTTATTTCCCTTCACCTTTTTCACCCATCCTCCCCCCTCCCCCCAAAAACCACCAGTTTTTTCTTTGTATCTATGTCTCTGTTTGTGTTTGGTTCATTTATTTCTTTAGATTCTACATATGTGTGAAATGACACGTTATTTGCCTGTCTGACTGATTTCACGCAGCACAATACCCTCTAGGTCTGTCCATGTTGTCGCAATGGCAAGATTCCCTTCCCTTTGATTTCTGAGTAATATTCTGTTCTGTGTACCACAGACCCAACGTCTCCCCTACCCTCCTGTATCTTGGCAACTGTAAACAATGTTGCAATGAACAGAGACACGCGTGTATCTTTTCGAATTAGTGTTTTCACTTTCTTCAGATAAATATTCAAAAGAATGAGTTCCTAACAGCAGGATTAGCGAGCAATCGAAGATGGACAATATCATAACGGGATGTTTTCCTAATGTAACGTTGCCTCAGGTCATACTGTGTAGGAACTTAATAACTTCATATTGTACACACAGAGATGTGTGTGTGTGATTGTGAATTAGGCTTTACCGAAGAACTGGGGTGCTGAGAGGTGATGAGAGACTACTGGAAGTTTTAGGGATGGGTATAAAATATTAACTTTACATAACATAGTAACTTCAGGGAAAATGTGGAGTGGACACGACTGAAAGGACCCCTTAAGAGCGATTATTTAGGGAGCTATTATAGCTGTTCAGAGGAGAGACACTCAGGGGCCGAGCCAGCGTGGTGATCACGGGCTGCAGGGCGAGAACAGGCCGTGACTCACTTCCGATGCTCCTCAGACCGTAATCGATCGACTGCGGGCACCGAAGGACAGCGAGGAAGCATTTTATTTTCTCTTTGCACCTCTCTTCTCCTTTTTGATATCTTCACACTTAATATAAATTCTATTATTAGCAGTTCACTAATTTTTAATTGTTTAGATGTTCGTTTTACTCTAGAATATAATGTTCTTTTTAAAAAAAAGTGTTTATTGATTTTTAGAGAGAGGGAGGGAGAGGGAGAGAGAAACATCAATGGTGAGAGAGTCACTGATCGGCTGCCTCCTGCTCGCCCCCTGCTGGGGCCGTGGCCGGAACCCTGGGCCTGTGCCCCGACCGGGAATCGAACCCTGACCTTTTGGATCCCAGGTCGATGCTCAACCACTGAGCCACACCGGCCGGGCAGAATATAAATTTCTTAAGTGCTTCATATCTCCAGTGATGGGCGCTGAGCTTGACTCAGAGTATCTCCTTGCTCTAGTATCCAGGGTATATTATAAGATTTTGAAACATCAAAGACCCAGTGAGAATGTGAAAAAGCGACACAGTAATTGGGCAAAAGAAAAGTGATGCGAAACTGTGTGACACAGGTTTCAAAAGGAAGTGAAGCTCTCTGTTAATGTATGTCCATAAACATTTAAATATTCGCCTACCTTTTTAATTTAATTTTTAAAAAAACACTTGTACACTTTCTTCACTTTCAACGGACATATTCTGGATTATCCTGGAAACCTGAGTTCCACCAGCACTTCCTTGGGGAGGCTTCTCTGGACGCCCTCAGGCAGGAAAGCTGTCCTCTGAAAGCTTCTGTTTGTTTCCCTCACAGCATTTATTACAGGGTATTTGCTCCTCGTAAATCTACAGATCTTTCCAAATCCCTTCGAATCAGGCACTCAAGTCATTTTCGTTCAGCTCCCTGTTTTTATGGTGTGTGATTGAAAAATAACAAAATTGATTTCAAGGCCAAGCCTGGCTGCCTCCCTCCCAAGCTCCCTCATTAAGGGGCGGGTGTCTGGGGAACGTGGTGGTCACACATTTCCAGTCACCACTTCGATTTAGTGACTGTCTGAGTCGCACGTCCATCTGGGAGCAAGTAGTAACCTTGAAAGAGGCCTCCGGAGAGGGTGAAACCACTAGAATACGTCACTTATTTTAATGTGCTTGGTTAATCGGCTTTAGAGTTTCGTATGGCTTTTGTGAAGTTCTTTGTAGGCAGCTTGAATTTAAATTAATAATGGATTTGGGGAAGTTACTTCTGGACAGCTGAGGTTTAGCTACACAGACATATATATATTTAGTGAGGTTTAATGATATTTATATACACACATACATATACATATATCTATCATTTAAGATAAAAGGTGAAATATTGTTTGGCATTACTGTTATTTTACTATTAAGGTGACTTAATAACTACTATTATCACTCACAATGTCAATACCTATCTAATAAGGAAAGAATACTTTTGGTTAGAACCTAATAAAACCAGACTTCTGAGGAAAATTGTTTTTCATAAAATATTAAGACTGCTGTTTTTCTGACATGTTTAAAGGAGATTAATAAAATTAAAACTGTTCTGCTCTAGAGTTCAGGAAACAATTCCCCTTTTGAGCATTTAATTAGTATGACACTTAAAAACATTTCATCATTAAAATAATAGAAAGATTCAAACACAGACACACACACATTCACCGATGGGCTGTTTTATTGGTTAAAGCAACAGGCTCAAAGTGAAACCCGATGGTGAGAGATGATCTGTTTTCCTCCGTGCAAAAGAGCCATTTTCGTAGACAGCTGCCCACTCATGCTTATGAACAGAATCTAATCAGCAAACAATACGTGAGATTTTATAACACGATTTGTTCAGTTGGTCTCTATCGACTGCCCCCACTCCCGTAAAATAGAAACAAAAACATTCCATTTTAAAAAATGGACCCTGCTTTGCATTTCTGCTTAAAAGCTCTTTTTCAGAGGGTTTTTGATTTTTCTGTAAATCAACACCCAGGACAGGGTTGGTCTAGTGCATTTCCACTGCTGCTTACAGCCTTCCTGAGGGCGGTTTCCTAGCAACTGCACGGAAGAAGCTTCTAGTGCATTAACTCACCCAGGAGCTCAGAAAAGGCTGGGAGGCAGACTTAAAAAAAAAAAATCTGACTTTCTAGAATGTAATTAACAATTTTATTTTCCATAGAGCAAAAGGGACTTGAGAATAGATGTGATTCATATCTACCCATAAATCTGCATCCTTAATTATCATTGCTTATCTTAAAAGCTTTGAAATTAAAAATAAGAGAAATGACAACACAGAAGAAACCGAGAATCTCACAGAATCCTATTATTTTGAAAGTCCTGCCTATCATTCCTGCATGAAGCTATGTCCTTGGGCTGAGCAGCATCACCCCCACCGACGGGGCCTCGCCCGCCCCGTGTCACCATCTCCAGCACTTCCTCTGAATTTTATTGTTGAATTTCAGTAGCCACTCGGGCCCTGTCGCCTTTTGAGTTTACAAATTTAGGTCTTGAGATTCAAGTACAATTCAAATTTAAATGGATTTCAGCATTCATTGTCACCGATCGACAGTATAGCTGTTTTGTACAAAATCGATTCCTTAGTGTTATGCAAATATTGCCGGACGCCTCTTTTAAAAACTACTTCCCAAGCCTTTACACTGTGTCACAGTGAATTTGATCAATCAATACTGTTTTCAATCGTATGATTTTATCTCATCCTGTTCAGTTATCAGAACTGACGGAGACTCTAAACAGTCTCTGAGGTATTGCCCAGACCAGGCCTCAACCCTGACGTGCGTCTCACCCACCGCACAGACGAGGCACAGGACAAGGAAATCCTGTAACAAGATGGGCTGCCAATTCTGTTAAAGACAGAACAGGGGTTAGGCACCCCTTCCCTGGCAGCCCTAACTCATAGTCTAGGACCCCCTTCTTCTAAATTTTATTTTTCAGTTACAGTTGACATTCAGCACTATTCTGTATTAGTTTCGGGGGTGCAGCACAGCGGTTAGACAATCCCATACTTTACAAAGTGTCCCCCCTGATATCCCAGGCCCCACCTGGCACCACCCACAGTTATCACAAGATTATGGACTATTCTCTGTGCTGTATTTCTCTCTCCTAAGAAACATTTCTTTCCTGGGGAGAAAATTACACAGGTTAAAAAAAAAAAAATCTCAAAAACAAGCGTGTTTATATTGACACTTTTGTCATTTGACTCATTGGTGGTTGTTTTTTTTTTCCTATTTTAAAGTATTACCACCCCAAGGTAAATTATTCTAATTTACCTGTTTTCTCTCAAACAGATCATGTTGTCTGTGAGGAGGAGTTTAAATACGCCATGTTAGCCTTAAACTGCANAAAAAAAAAAATCTCAAAAACAAGTGTGTTTATATTGACACTTTTGTCATTTGACTCATTGGTGGTTGGTTTTTTTTCCTATTTTAAAGTATTACCACCCCAAGGTAAATTATTCTAATTTACCTGTTTTCTCTCAAACAGATCATGTTGTTTGTGAGGAGGAGTTTAAATACGCCATGTTAGCCTTAAACTGCATATGCCCAGCCACATCTACTCTCATCACACTGCTGGTTCACACCTCTAGAGGCCAGTAAGTATATTTTCTCTTTAAGATAATGCATTTTAAATTATTATTATTTTTTTAAAATAAGTGCAGTTCTGTGATTTGGAAATATAGCATGCCCAGGTAAAGGCTAGATGTGTGCCTAGACTTGTATATCTGTGTTATCTTCGTCTGATGGAGAGACAGATAGACAGACAGACAGACAAATACAGGCCAGTGAAGGGGTCCAAGACACACACAAATTGACAGTGATTGTCTGGCTCTTCCAGCTAATCTTGAGATAACTTGTGCCATCCTGAATTCTAAGTGTCTACGTCATTCATTAGTCCTACGATTGGGGGGTTGTTTTTAATTTCTAGGTTAATCCTTAGGAAATAAAACACCGAAGAACATGGTGATGACAGTCACTAGGGTGAGATCTTAAAGCTGGTGTTTTTTGTTTTGTTTTTTCTATTTGAGGTAAGTTTTTAGTCTTAAAGCTACCTGTACACAACGGAGCTCTAAATAAAACTTTTTTGCTATTATACAGTGACGACAACGTGGTAGGTAAGATTAGCTGAGGTAGCATAGAAGAAATCACCTTTTATGTGCGTTTCCAGGGGATGGGGGAAAAGTTCTCACTTACTTTGTAGAGTTTCCTAAAACACAGAAGCTGTTTTTGACTTGGATGATCAACGACAGTCCCCACAGTGACTTAAGGAGACAAATATCACACTGCATTTTGCAACGTTTCATAGTCTTTACTTGGTATTTCAGACAAAAAGTTGATTTTTCTAATTAAATGTCACTGTGGTCTCTTGTGGTTTGGATTATTGAAATTAACTTAATTGATAGCTATTTAAGTGAAGTGCCAATTCAAATAAACCAAGGAAAAGGGAAGTTCTTTCTTGCGATTTAATCCTAGATGGGATAAATTGTTAACTGAAAAACAGGAAATGCCCTGCGGTATTTTTAAGCAAATTTTACTCTTTCCTTGAATTATGTCTCTGCTCTCTCGAGACCGTAGGCGTTTCCCAGAAACGACTTTATTAAAGTTTGGAACAGAAATATTTTTACCCTGTACGTTTAGAAGCCTTTCATCTGTTGATGGAAAGGAGGGAACAGGGTCGTGAATGGAATTGTTTTTACTTGAAGAAACACTGAGGTATTGTGACGTCAGCACTGTGACGCAATTAGATGAAATCCTGGAAACCATCTCGGTTGGGTGAGCGCTCACCGGGCTCGCGTGGGTTAATCATTTGCTGCACCGCCCGTCACAGGATCACAGCCTCCCGAGCAGGTCCCCAGAGCAGCTCCACTGCTTTGCAAACGACAGAACAAGAGCCCTCTAGGCCACAACGTTATTACCAGAGGCCGGTTAACTGCATTGTCTCACCCTTGTAAGGGTTTAGTGTCACACAGCACTGCCTGATAAACTTCACTTGACGTTAAGTTAAAAAAGAATCCTGACAACCCTTAAAACAGGGCCTTTTCCAATAGAATCCTGATGAATCTGGCCTTATTAAAAGAGTACTGAAGACATTACCGCCTAACGAGGGATTCCCCAGGATTAAGACTGACCTGCACAATCTTAAAATACACCAGTAATAAAAAATCCACTTATTTCACAACCAAGTGTCACAGAAATGCCGTAGTTCACCGGAATAGCTTTCTTTGTAGCTGCTTTATTGAGATATAATTCGAATAATCTACATTTCACCCACTGAAAGTATGCAATCCAATGTGGCTCTTTTTAGGTGCCGTCCTAGAGCCGTGCAGACATCCCCACTCTGACTCCTGAATACTTTCATCGCCCCATAAATCCCTCCACCTTTTAGCCGTCTACGTTTCCTCCCAACTCTCTGAGCCCCAGGCAACCACTAATTTACTGTGTGTCTGTGGCTTTTCCTAATTCAGACTCTGCACCGTGCATATAAGTAGAACCATGTAGAGAATGTGTGCGTGTCGACCAGCTTCTTTCAAGTGGCCTAAAAATGTTCTCAAGGTGCATCAGTATCGTAACAGGCATCTGCCCTTCGTTCCTTTTATGAGTAAATAAATCCCATTATGGGGACAGGTCACATTTTCCCCTGTCCGTCGGGGGATGGCTGTCTGGGCCGTTCCTAGCACTGCAGACAAGGCTGCTCTTAACCGTCGCGTGAGGATTTTTATGTGGACACGCGCTTTCGTTACTACCCGGTTCTTTGATCCGAGCCTTCCTAGGGGGTGACAAGCGGCGTCTGTCTGTGGCTTTGATTTGCCTTTCACTGATGGCTGATGACACTGAGCATCTTTTCATGTGTTTCCTGGCCACCTGTCTATCTTGTTTGTAGAAACACCTATTCAGATCCTTTGGTCATTTTTTTTTTTAAATTGGGTTATTTGCCTTTGATTATTGAGTGTAAGAGCCTTTATGTATTTTAGATACAAGTGCCTTATCAGACATATACCATCAGTTGAATATAAACAGTCAACCCAACAGAAAGGCACTTAAGTCAACATGTTTAACGTATTTATTGAGGCTATCGTTTGACTTCACTAATTTACGTCAAGTCTTCTGTACTCTGCTTTAATTGGAGATAGAGTCAAGGTTTATTTATGAAGAGAATATGTTTGAAAGTTTGCCCTTGAGCCTCAGCAGAAATTAGAAAGCTCAGGGACCGATTTGATAAGAGAACAAGCTAGCCCGCTGGAGGAAGTAGCACGCTGGCCACCCCATGAAATGCTTTATGCAACGGCTATCAAACCTCTCATTGAAAACAAAGCTTACAATAATAATATATTTCTCCATGAAAAAAGGGAGAGAATAATATTATTAAAACTTATTCTATAAATAAATGGTGATTTTGAATAAAAATAGTAGAGAGTCACAAGCAATTGTGGAGGCTATTTGTTCATACAAAGTGAAAAAAGAAGCCAAGACTTTAGGATCCGACAAGCATAGAAATAAATATAATACAAAACCTGAAATGGTGTAATTTAAAACTATATTTTTAAATACACTGCTCTGCAGAGTGCAGGTATTTAAAGGAAATAATAGATGTGGGTCCTGAAACAAATGAGACAGACAGGGCAATCAAGAGCCGGGGATCAGAAGGTCAGCTCTTTTCGTGACAGATGTGCCTCGGGTCATAGAAATAACGGGGTCCCTAATTCAGAACTAGAATGAGGCTCGCCCACAATGTCACCATCATTCTCTCCTCACTTCTCTCCTTGTAGCCAGTGGAAGTGGGGACTGGGGTGGAAACCACAAATTAAGGGTGAACTGCCTACCACTTAGCCCGCGGCCTGGCTGGTTAACACGCCTCTGACTTTACGTTTCCTTCTCCTGTGAGGAATAGATTCATTCTCTACTGGCCGGTCTGAAGGTTATAAAGCAACTTGGAGATGATTTCCAGTAACTGCTCCTTTGCGTCACTGGGGGGTTGCCCGGCATTTTAGCACCTGATAGTCTTTCCCTTCACTTGCTTTATTACATGGGCGTGTTCTGTGCTCTTGGCAGTGGTACTTCTTATTGCTAATTAAATTAGCTTTTTGATTTACTGGGCAATCTTGTTAGAAAGATGAACGTAAGTCTATTGTTCGGGCAAAAATCACCGCAGGATGGTGAGCGTGGGCCACGATCATCTGGGCACGGGGATGCCTCCTGATCAGGCCAGTCACCAGGCGCGACACTGACCCATGTCCTTGATACTTTCATACTTATCAGAATTTAAGTTTCTCTTTTTTTTTTTCTTTCAATTTACTTTCATGAGAATATTTTCCCATTAGTCCCACCAGAGAGGGGATGCTCTCGGTCACCATGCTTTAGGCGATCACACCTGCGAGGCGAGCGTCCAGGCTGGCAGCCCCCCGTTTCTGTAGCTTAGGCCCCGCTCGGGCGCTGCTCCGAGCTGTGCTGCGGTTCTCGGAGCTGGAAGCCAGGCGGCCTGACAGGCTCTGCCTGACCTGCTCTCCCTGTTTCTGTGTGTGTGTGTGTGTGTGTGTGTGCCCTTGTGTTTCAGGGAAGGCCAGCAGTCGCCAGAGCAGTGGCAGAAGACGTACGGCCGATGCTCCGGGAACGAGGTCTACCACATCACCTTGGAAGAAAGTGCTTTTTTCGCTGAATACGAAGGGAAGAGCTTTACCTACGCCTCCTTCCACGCACACAAAAAGTAGGTTTCCGCTTCCAGAGTGGGATGAAGATACGACTCCATGAGACTTTACAAACATTTATTACCCTGACTATAGGGTGTGCACTCTGATGTTTTCTATTCTCTTTTAATCTATTATTTTTCATGTATAAACACATGTATGCAATAATCACCTACACTGATTTCCCAACACAGCTTTCCTGTAAAAAACAAAACAAGAGTCTTAAACTTTTTGGATCCTTCCAAGCTTTAAAAGGCTCTGATTTGGGGTTAAATGTTCCTCTGCCTGATGGGAGCTGACTTATTTTCTTTCATATACAAACTTAAGGAAATCAAACCAAGGCCTCTGCTGACCCTACAACAGCTGAAACTCTTCTATTTTCTTTTTTACGGGAAGGTTCGGTGTCTGCTTGATTGGCGTCAGGAGAGAGGACAATAAAACCATTTTACTGAACCCGGGTCCTCGCTACATTATGAGCGCCACAGACACATGCTTCTATATTAATATTACCAAAGAAGAGAACTCAGCTTTTAAAAACCAAGACCAGCGCAAGAAGAGCAGCGTGTCCCGGTCGTTCTACCACGGGCCGTCGAGGCTCCCTGTGCACAGCATCATCGCCAGCATGGGTAAGTCCGGGTGCACTTGCAAACACCATTTGTTTCTCTCCCAAAAAATAATAAAAAATACACTTCGATTTCTATTGTAATTTCAAAGTCAAATTTAGAACATACTCGCTTCTGTTAAAACTTGGGGTAACTAAATATGCAGAGCAAAAATTCTCAGCTGTTCAATGATGGATACATCCTGACAGTGGCAAGCGCTCTGATGGACTCTCATGTTTTCTTGTGTTAGGCACCGTGGCTATAGATTTGCAAGACACAAGCTGTCGATCGGCCAGTGGCCCGACCCTGTCTCTTCCTACAGAGGGAATGAAAGAAATCCGAAGACCTAGCATCGCGCCTGTTCTAGAGGTCGCGGACTCATCAACCCTTCAAACGTGTGATCTTCTCAGTGACCAGTCAGAAGATGAAACTACACCGGATGAAAAAATGTCCCACAACTTAGAGTACGTTTAGAAACTCTAAGGTTTACTGGGACCTGTGCCAGCCACCGGAATTGATGTCCGTACGTCCTGGACATCCTAGAATCAACCCTACGTATTTCTACCAAAACAGCCTTCCTACTAGGCAGTATCTCTCTTGACTAGCAAGTATTTGAAACCCTCAAATTTCCGAATGAAACATACAGGGTGGGGCAAAAGTAGGAAACACGGAGTTTATTCTTGTATTATTATTTATTGATTATTGTATTACTTGTATACCAAACCTTGGCTGTATTCTGAGAAACCTTACAGAGACTGAAATTTGAATTTAATGTAATTTTCATGGGACATGAAATAGTATTCTTATTTTGATTCCCCCCCCCAAACTATTTAAAAATAAAAAAACACTTTTAATTCATAAAACCAGGTGACGGGCCAGACATGGGCCCTACCTAGTCTGTCTCCCAGGTTCTAATCGATTTTCTTATCAAAATGTAATTGCAACACAAAGTCACCGTATCTCACTTTATCAAAATAGAGGATGGTGGCTGTTTCTTAGTGGCCCAACTCTGCATGTGCTATTCCAGGGGACTCATTATTTCGTATTGCATTACAGGTATGCTAAAGGCTACCCCCCCTACTCTCCATACATAGGAAGCTCGCCCACGTTTTGCCACCTCCTTCATGAAAAAGTGCCCTTTTGTTGCTTAAGACTAGACAAGGTAAGCGCTCATTACTGTCATTTTCTGCCAAATTAAATTTTGCTGTTTCGTGATGACATATCTTTAAACCATTTTGTATACAGTCCACAGATTAAATGATTTTGTACAGAGAAAATAGGTTGAAAGAATAGTATCTTTTCCAATGTAAGTGTAATACAGGCAATGGTGAGTTTTACTTTCTTCACTGCACTAAGATTATCCAAATCACCCAATGAGTCAGCGAGTTTTTAAAGAAAACAGAGGTGCCCAAATCTCTATTTGTCTGATTAACACACAAGCTGGAGAACTGGGCATAGAAAAATGTAACTATTTTCAAATGTGTTAAAAAATAAATGATTTACTAGGTTAGATTAATTTTACACAGCCATGTATCCTAAAATTTTTTCACCATATTTTAGCAGGGTATAAAAATGGCTTTCCTTTGTACGATTTTTCTTTTCTAGAGCTGCCAGCATAACTACTATGAAGACGCAAAAGCCTATGGATTCAAAAATAAACTAATTATCGTTGCAGCTGAAACAGCTGGAAATGGACTGTATAATTTTATTGTTCCTCTCAGGGCATATTACAGACCAAAGAAAGAACTCAATCCCATAGTACTGCTGTTGGATAACCCGTAAGTATATCTACAAGTAAACACACAAAGAAGATCAAGGGTTTTTACATAGTATCTCAAAAATAATTTATTTTCATTGGCTTAGACTATTTTAAATCAGACACATTATGGCACATGATTCACCGGGAGATATATTCTGTGTTACAGTGCAAAATAAACACTGAATAGGGTTGTATTTCACAAATATGATTTAAACCTTTACTGGAATGCCCTGAGCTCTTTATTTAAAACTATTTTGCACGTGGTCATCCCTCTATATGAGTGGGACACATGCCACTAAAATAATTACAGTTATTTTCCTTAAATTAATCAACCATCCTAGAAGAACTCTGCCTAAAATGGACACTTTCGTTGTCTTTCTAAAGAACCATTAATTATGTAGAAAAACTCATTATAATGTAATAAGAGAGAGCTGACAAAGAATGAGATTGAAAGAAAAAAGTCACACACAAAAAATAAAGAACCATTAATTACCAGAGAAGCATATTAATGATCCATTTTTTATGTTGTGTCATGACTTATTATGATGCTTCCACTGTTAAAACATAACATTTTATAACATAATATGAATAAGGAATGCTCTACCATGGCCATTAATTTTGAAAATGTTGGATGGTTATACTCTTGTGAAATTAGACTACTCGGGCATTGCAAAATTCTTATGCAAATATAAATATAGATCACTGAATGCTATTGCCAAATTTATTGTATCCTAAAATTATGACATTCCTCTCTGTGACTCAAAATTAGTAGCAGATGGCCCTCAGATCAATACCATATTTTAGGATCCTCCAGCTCTCTCCTCTTCAATTCCAAAGTGACGCAAATTTCAGGATACACACTAGAATGCGCCCCAAATCTGTTGCCTTGTCTCTGCCTTTAAAATTTATCAACAGAAATTCCTCAAAACAGAGATACCTCCCCAATATATTATAATTTTTGATGCGATTATAGTTCACTGCTCTTTCAACTATATGATATTATTTAACTTACAGGTTTTTGATATATGCAAGAAGTACACTGTCAGTTCTCTTTAGAAACAAGAATTGCATTTTAACTTTGGATTATTTTGCACTAGAACTCTCCTTGGCTTTCCTGATGGCTTACATTTTGCAATCCGCCTCCTCACGTGATGCTGTCTGTTAGATGATTTTTGTGCGGTTTGATTTTCTTCCGGATGACTGTGCAGGCTGTAAAATTTATTTGCTCCTGAGTACTTCCTGAAAGTGATTTCTAACGTTTTTATTTGTGGTCCTCTGTTCCTTTGGTCAAAAAATGAGGAAACAAAAACTAAAAATCAATAAATCATGTTCCAGGAAGTTTTATGAAATCCTTTTTTTCAACAATGCGATGCCTGTTGCCCTGCAGTAGCTAGTATTGTGCAGTGTATCCTTCAATATTACAAGGAAATAGGATGCTTAATTCTAAAAATGTCCCCATGTTAAAAGAATTTATACCCTAATGATCATACACAATATAGTCACTCTATGTTGATGTATTAAGGGTTATGTTAGAATGCTGCATATCCCTTGGAGAAAGTTGCAGGCTCATTTAGTTCCTTTGAGTCATCTAAGAAAAACTTGTTAGTTTCCATTTTACAAGGCCTCCTGTGCAGGAATATATATATATATATTTAATCCTCACATGAGGATATTTTTTCCATTGCTTTTCAGAGAGAGTGGGAGGGGGAGAGAGAGAGAGAGGAAAAAAACATCAATGTGAGAGAGAAACATCGATTGGTTGCCTCTTGCACATGCCCTGACCAGGCTGGGGATTGAGCCTGCAACCGAGGTACATGCCCTTGGCCAGAATCGAACCCAGGACCCTTCAGTCAGCAGGCTCATGATCTACCCACTGAGCCAAACCAGCCAGGGCAATAATTTTTAATTAAGAGGGTCAATTCAGCACTTTTGTAGAGTAATGCCATAATGTTTCTGATTTAGAAAGCAAAAATCTTTTTATAATTCTGAGCACATTGTATTACTCGTAACAAGTACAAATGACACTTTCTAATGATTGTTTCGGGGGAAGGAAAAAAGCACCTAAANAGCAGGCTCATGATCTAACCACTGAGCCAAACCAGCCAGGGCAATAATTTTTAATTAAGAGGGTCAATTCAGCACTTTTGTAGAGTAATGCCATAATGTTTCTGATTTAGAAAGCAAAAATCTTTTTATAATTCTGAGCACATTGTATTACTCGTAACAGGTACAAATGACACTTTCTAATGATTGTTTCGGGGGAAGGAAAAAAGCACCTAAAATTAATCTTGTCCATGGTGTTTGGTTTGGTAAATGCAAACTAAGTCTCCTTCCTTTCCCTGGAAGCCTTGCCCTTGTGACCTTGTGTTTCATTTTGTAACCCATCTGCCACTTAGGCCAGATATACACTTTCTGGATGCAATCTGTTGGTTTCCAATGGTTTACTACATGGTGGGCTCTATTGACAAGTAGGTGACAAAGTCTGTGGCACGCTAACCAGTGTGGTGTCCCGTGGTCCGTCCTGTGCTGTGGCCTGTGTTGCATGACCAGTGGACTTGGCCCTTTAGTGTCCCGCAGATGTCGTATCCTGCATGTGGAGCTTACAGTCTCTTGTGGTGGTCATTTTGTATTCCGACTTCCTAAGCGATAATCTGTGGTTGAATTAGAGCAAATCTGGCTGCATGTGGATTTTGTCGATTCTGTCCAGTTTCTAAAGCTGATTCAGTTTTGTGTCATCTACAGCAACACCATTATTACTTTCGATGTCTGGTAGGGAGAAATTCAAAGTTTCAGCACTGTGAGGCATTGGCACCATTATCTTAACTTCGGGAAACCTTCCAAGTAATTCCAAAATGCTCACTTAAAATTCGATTTGTGAATTGGAGCGTTTCCTTAAGAGTTTATTCTAGTAACATAGATGAGAGCCTCATGATCTCTAAACATTTGTTAATTAAAATGTCAAATGTGTGCAATGCTTTAGTATTAAAATACTAATTATTGTATGTGTATGAACATGACATTTTTAAAACACAAGGACTAAAAGATCATAAAACGTAATATGCCTATAACGTGTTAATTTTTTATTTAAAAAAAAAAAGTCAGCCAGGGCCTTCCAAATAAAATGTTTAACTTTATCGACTGAGAGCTTTCATGCTTACATTGCACCCTGTCGATGTTGAAAAAACAAAGTTCTGTAACCTTGAAAGTGTTTATTAGCTGTGGGCACATGAAAGACCAAACAGGGTGACATAAACTTAGCCTCCATCCTACATTAATATCATTTACGCCACCAGCTGGCCTAGTAAACCAACTAACTAAAAATCAGATATGTGAAAAGTGTTTACATTCAGGAAGGTCAATGTAACCCACATTTGATCACCAGTAACGTTTCTTTGGAGTGACAGTACTCACTTAAAATTCACTAGAAAACCACGATGTTTAGAAGGTGAGTGACCCTCCGGTCACCTTTGCCTCTGTCACCTCCGCAGTGAATTCTCTGTCAAAGCGCTTCTGGTGAGAAGGGCCCAGAGCCTCTCACCCCTGGAGGTGAAGGGGCTGGTCACTCCTGACGCCGGGTGACAGCATGTGGGGCTCACTCTGTCCGATTTCCTTTCGCTTCTGTTTGAAATTCTCCTTAAAAACACCCCGATGATTAGGAAACGGCCTCCGAGGGAGCTGCGGCCCCTCGCAAACACCCGACGCTCCAGCTTTCTCCCGGCCCCGCCCGCAGGGCCTCTTAGAGGAGCCTGGAGGGACATTATCTGGAACTTTTTAAAAAAAATCCAGATTGATTTTTTTTCTTCGGTTGCCATCTGGTGGCCAAACTGTATAAAGGAACCAGACTGAAGACAACTTGGTGGGCTGCGGGGAGAAAGCGGGGTGGTTAAGAGCCTAATGAAAGGGGAACAGGACTGTAATGCGGTGTCCGGTGGGTATAAAAATGGTAACTTAAAGCTAAAGTGCGAACATCAAAAAGGTTTCTGCAGGGTTCAGAAATGCCATTCCAGTTTTTAAAAATTATTTCTGATAGGCTTAAACTCATACTTAATAACAACTGCTAACTTCGCTTGCCAAGGTTACATGCAATCGACAGCAGCCAGCACTGTGACCCTAAGGCACAGGGCCTAGCAGTCCCGCCCGGTACTCTCGGTGGCATTTCTGTCTCATTTCAATTTCACTGATTTATGGCTGATGAAATATTCATCTTTCCTATCATAACTTCTATCCCTACATCTTTTTCTAGTCAAGCTTACCTCCCACCACCTATCTTTCCCTTCTCCTGTATAATCATAATGGACAGATATTTAAATTTTTATTGGTGGAGAAAAGATTTTAAGAGCTGAAATATCAGAAAGCGATTTAATTTTATAATACGGCGGGTTGAAGGTGTGTGATTTTTAGGGTCCAAAAGCGATCATATCACATCCATTTTCCACCTACTTCTTTCTTTCTTTAGTGCATTGGAAAGATGTAAGAACAATTCTGATGGATTTCCTAGAGGAAAGGAGCACCCAAGTAAAGTTTTCCTAGGGATTTAACTCAGTCATCATATTGATTGGATGTTATGGTCCTGGCCCCTCTTACCATAGGAAATTTATGTGGAATAACATTCTGTCTCCGCAGTTTTAGCCATAAAATCTCTGCCACAGAACCTTGTTCCTGACTCAAGCGCAGTATTTTTTCTGGACTGCTCCCGGGGATCTTGGACTCAAAGCTTTGGTAATACTTTCCCACGTTATAACAGAGTAAGAAACCCTGCCTCCTGCCTTCCCGGGAGACGAAGACAGTTCCCTGGAACCCGGCTAATTCAGCCACCATTGTGCACCCAGAAAAGATCTTCAGGCAACAGGTTCCAGTTTCCGAGCCTTAAAGGAACTACTGCTCCTTAAGTTTTACACCTACGATTGCAAACCAGCAGCTGCAAACCCGCTTCTTGTCTGTCTTCAATCAGCTCTGTACCCAGAGCCCTGCTGCGCTCATTCAAGTTCAGTCTCTTAGCCAAGTCAGTCCTATTTTTCTAGTTTGTATCAAGCAGAGGCAATGAGAATGGTTTCCTTGTTTTAGAGTCAGTGGTAACATTTTTTTAAAAAAATTCAATGCTAGACAAAGTGCTTATCAGCCACAGGGGGAAAGACTGACTCTATCATAACTTGCAGGAGCTTGTACACGAGGTTATCACAATTATTTAATGCAACCAAAGAAACCAGGTTATTCAATCACTTACTCAAAAACATCAGGTTAACTTAATGGGAGGCTTGAATACCACTGGTATTTATATATTTTACACACTCTTGTGTAGAACTGATCTCTAACATAGCTTTACAGAAAGAAATAACAAAAATTTTAAAATACACATTTCCCAGTTTTATATATCTTCACCAGGCTCGGCCATCTCAGTTAACATCAGCATTCATTTTCACTCTTGCCAAAAGCACTTTAGGGATAAAAAATGGACACGTGTCTTTGAAACAGTGTGCCAACTATAAAAACAAAGTTTAAACATATTCTGTCACCCCATGACCGCAAAATGGGTGTATTCCATGTTTTATTAATATAATGAATAAATATTATTCAATCAAGATTCTTAATGCATATGCTTTGAAACTGTTGAGATCTAATGAAACAGTAAGAGCTCCAAAATTCAAATTATTTCATACGAGTAGAGACTATTGAATGATAATTCCCACTAACAGGGGCCAGGGCGCATCTCTGTGGACGCCACCTGCAGGGTGACCTAGGCCAGCTCCTGGGATGCACTGACAAGGCCTTTTTCTCTGCTGATTTTCATCAAAGCCTAGATGACTTGCTCAGGTGCGGAGTGACCTTCGCTGCCAACATGGTGGTCGTGGACAAGGAGAGCACCATGAGTGCCGAAGAAGACTACATGGCCGACGCCAAGACCATCGTCAACGTGCAGACCCTCTTCAGGTAAGCGCCCGGCGGCCCCGCCCCGCGTCAGAACATAGATTAATTGTAGGCCAGTTTTAAGTAAGACACACTGTATTATTTTTCAATTACATTATTGCTTTATTACAAGTTTAGTACCCAGGGAAAAGAGACTGATTGTGTCAGTTAATATCTAAAATGTTCTATAGGCAAAAAGTACATAGGTCTTATGAAGGCTCAGAAATAGATTTACAGCATTAGCATGTTAAAGATACATAACTAAATCTATTAGACAGCTAAATTTTTAAAATAAAAATATTATAATTGAATAGAAGCAATACGTTATGAATATAACAGGCACTGCAATGAAACATTATTAAGTCTGATTTAGTTGTAGGTGTTCACTAGGTGGCAGGCTCAGATAACGCATTCGGTTTCTCCGTTTATCATAACATCAGTGGTAAAGGTTATTCATACAGAACAGAACAGGCATGTCCCATAAATTCTGTCGTCCTATCTAATTTCACCTCCGCAAATCACCTAAATGAAATGACCGAGTCAACCATATTATCACTCACTCTTTCTAAGACCTCAAAAATATCTAGCCAAGAAAGTGTGTACTCATGTTTGGTATCACGTGTTAGAAAAGGGTTGTATTATGCAAGTAGTCACAAATTTAACCATTTAGACTCATAGAAATGGAAGATAAAAGCTGGCTTTCTCTAAGGAAAATTCCCCAAAGTTGAAATAGATGTTCATTTGTCCGCAGCTCCGCTTTTTGCGTAAATTCCTTCTCTGGCTTCATATCTCAACAGTGTTCTAGGTGTTTCTTACCAGTATCTTCATGCTGCTTACCCTGTGAACATCTCCTCAGCTACATTTGTCACCCCCAGGAAACAAGAACAGCCCTATTAGGTCGTCTGTTAGGTCATGAAGTCTAATTCAGAGGCAGGCATTTCACTCTGGGCTTCTTTTTAGGTCTTGGAGAGCACAGCCTTCTCTTGGCTGGGTGTGTGAGTTAACTGGGCCTGTCCTGACTTGGTCTTGCTGTTAGGGGGAATCGGCGTGATCCGGAGTCACGGACACGAGGGAACCCACGTGGAGGGGTGACTCTGACTTTGAGCCACTTTAAAGCTCCATCCCAATTAGATTCAAGAGGAACTTGAAACAATGGTGGGGTCTCCAAACACGGAATGAGAAGGGAGCTGGGGAGAAAAGGAAGTGAATTTCAAGCAGAAATGGCAATGTGAGGAAAAGCAAAAATCTACCCCCGGCTGAGAGCCGGTGCCACGGCGTGATGGGGTGTGTGACCCTGAGCTCGGTCTTTCACAAGCAGCATCACTAAGCTTCGCGACACCCCCGTCTTTACAGAATCTGAGCCTCAGAGTTTCCTTAACCGACCCCAGGAAACAAAACTATTGCCAGCGCCGAAAATGTCCAATAAAGGCCAATCGATTGACCTGATTTTTGTTGTAGTGAAGAGTCAGTTAGGATCTTCTTTGGAAACAGGGGCTCGTTTCTCTTGCCCTGTACGGAGGGCCGGGTGGCCCATTGCTGTGAAAGCGCCTGTGGTCGCAGCCTAATTAATCGCACCCTCAGTCACAGGTGGCTGTACAAAGCGCCACAGGCCCTGTTGGTGTAACACACGCGTTTTCTTGACACGCAGGCTGTTTTCCAGTCTCAGCATCATCACCGAACTCACCCACCCGGCCAACATGAGGTTCATGCAGTTCCGAGCCAAAGACTGCTACTCCCTGGCCCTTTCAAAGCTGGAAAAGGTAAGTCGCATTCAACTGTTTTGGCTGAAAGAATAACTCTGGAATTTTCTTTGTGTAGAAAGATCTGCCATGAGATAGTAAAAATGAAGATGCTGTTTTGAATTCTTGTGTGGGGGCTAAAAATCTTAATTTATAGTTCTTTTTAAATGTGAGTTTCAACTATTTCTGTCACATGGGAATATGATGGAGATGTCCTGTTCTGTCGTCATTAATCATTAATCGTTAATCAAAAGCACAGCTTATAAAACGATTAAGTGTAACAGGAATGTGTATGCTAGCTGATAATAAAAATTATATTGATAATACCACAAGTGCTATGTCAAGAAATCTTTATTTATATAGGGCTTTGCAGTTTTCCACAATCCTTAAGGTCTTAGAAAAGTCATAGGCTTTGGCGAAAGTTAACTTTCTAAATGTCACCAACACAGTCTGAGCCAAGCCAAGTCTGCTGCTCACCTAGGTGAGGGGGACCGTCACCTCAGCTGAGCCTCGGAGAACTGGAAATTCTGTTTAACGAGGGTCTTTCAAAGCGGGGACTTGGTTAGGGTTGGGAAGGGACCGGGATACTGCTAATGGCGACACTGAGTTTACAAAGCCATGTGATGTGGACCGAAAGGCATGGCTTCTGCTGTGTCCTGGCTGAGTGTCGGAGAAAATGGCTTGGATTTGGCATTCAATCAATGCCAGTCTACTGCGAGAATTTGGCATAAGAGAGAGAGAAAAAAAAGATTCAGTCTTACACATGTGGAAATGTGTTAGATCTGTGCCATCTTCACTGTCCATGGCAATATAAGAAATAAGACAATGATGCCTTAGCACCCCCCCCCTTTTTTTTTTTGCTTAATTCTTTCTCTCCCTGAATTTTATTTTGACTGCCTATGTGCCAGACCCTGCCCTAGTTCCTGGGAGACAGAGTGTTAAGTAAGGTCATTCTGCAACCTGTCGGTGAAGTTCAAAGCTGGTCACTTGCATCAGGTCAGCAGAGCCAGGCCTCTGCCCCTTCACCACTAGTTAATCGTTAGGCACGGTTCTGAGTAAAGAAGCCGAGTGTCCCACAGGTAAGAAACGCTGCAAGGTCATCGGCGAAGAAAGGAAGCTTGAAGCCATTAACATTCAGGACAGAAGCCTCCCGTAACATGGCACAGGAGGGTTACAGGCTTGGGCACGTGGGCTCTGCGCCCACAGGCGAACGCGGTCATCGGCGTGAACCTAAAAGCCCAAGGCCAGAGGGAGCGGCCGCAGGTGTTTCTCGAGACCCAGAAGAGCAGCTGCTCGGGGAGCCCCGATTGGGGCAGAAACGGGGTAAATGGCAAATGGCGTTGCCGTCAGGGGGTGAGGAAATGGGGGTGCAAATGGCGTTGCCGTCAGGGGGTGAGGAAATGGGGGTGCTCTGAGAAAGCGGGGGAACAATGACAGGAGCAGAGGAGGGCACTGCTCTAGGTGCAGAGACGGCAGGTGGCGTTGCTAATTCTAAAGAGCGTCTGTAAGCCCAGCCCTGGAGTCCTGACCCCTCGTTACCTTGTTACTTGTCTCTTGTTACCTTGGCCCACAGCTGTTACACATACAGTGTTGCTTTTCCATGAGCCCAAAGGTTATTTTGCCCAGTTTCAAACATCCTGAAAGTCAGAGGAGTAAGAAAAGCAAGGCAGTTCCCCTGGCATGGCTCCGTTTATATTAGTTCTCAAAATGCAGTCTCTTTACCCCATTTTCTTGAAATTTGTCAAACCCACCAAAACATTTCCTGGCCATCCCGCTTTGCTCGCACGGCCCTCGTTGTGAGCTGTCCTGCGGTGGTGGCTATTTTTTTGTGGCTGGGTTGCCTTGTATGACGTTTCCCTTCATCTCAGGGATATTCCAGTCTCCGCCAGTGTTTTCCCAAAAATCTGCCCTGTGCTCGGTCCCTGCTCGTGGGGCGTCGTGGACGCTTGGTTAGCAAAACTAAGCAGGGAGGGAAAACGGGACGAGTGGTAATGACACGGAGAAGAGGGACAGAATAGGCAGGAAAAAAACCCACAGGAATTCCCACCTCATTTCCCTCTCGACGTATTTCATCTCGCTCGTCTCGGTGCGTTTCATAAAGTCGCCTTTTGCGGGTGCTCGTGGCGCAGCCGGCTCGAGGGCACCTCCCTTTCGATCCCTTGAACCATCCCGCCCCCGGTGCTACGGCTCCACTGCAGCAACCACAGGGCAGCCACGCGCGATGGAAGGGGAACAGCACGCGAGACGGACAGGGCGCTACAATCACGAAGAAGTAGATCAGGTCTTTGTCCCCAGTTCCTGGCACAGGGCTTCAAAAAAAACAACACACCTTTGAATTTGCTGAGCGACGGGAGTGTCCTCTGTTATTCAGACCTTTCCAATCACGACTGATTCGATGCTCACCAGGCAGGTCCTGGGGGGGGGGG